CCCCTAGTTTCGTCTAAAACCCCCTGTCACTACCCTTTCACTTGGCGTCCCCTTCGACTCCTCCGAGGAAGAACCCAATCAAACGTCTTCTTCGGCAGCCTTTCTCCCGCCATTAGGGTGTCTACTAAAACAGGCTGGCCAAAAAGCAGTACTTTTACAGTAGTGCTGGAAGGTTGGCTTCCCTTTTCGGCCCAAGCCCTCGATGAAGCAAGCTGTCCATACTCTCGCTATACAGGGACTCTAATCCAATGTACTCTATGATTTACTAGAGTACCTTTATTGACAGAGTATGGCCATTCGTATATTTTTACTACAGGAAAACTGTTCCGCTTTTTGATTGGTCAACGAGTTTTTAGGCTTCATGATGCTCTTAGGACCGTAAATAAACAAACAAGATGGCGGCTCACCGTAACATCGATGAGAAGCTAAATTTGACAAAAATTTCAATTATACGGCAGTAACAATTTAAACTAGCATATCTACGAATAACACACGAAAAAAACACGAAAACATTGTTAAATCGCCTTTCACCTTTATCACAGGAGGATGTAAGATGTGCATAACCTCAATCTTGCTTGCTGATAACAGCCATCTTTTTTGTTTATTTACGGCCCCAAGAGCATCGTGTCAGCCTATTCGCTCGCGACCAATGAAAAACCGGAACAGAAATGGCCATACTCTGTCTATAAAGGTACTCCATGATTTACCATTGAACAGTATGTTTAAAATCGTGTTTTCTTGTTTCAGGACTGACATGGGTGAAGCTAGCCGGAAGCAATTGATCGTTTCTCGATTCATGGATTCAGACAGCCAAGACACGTGCGAACTGGTTGGGAGCGGGGCTGCGTAAATGATCCAGTTCCCTGTGGAGCCGTCCGTTCCTTGACGTTTTAACTCCTGGTTTCATGGGGGAGAGTTCGAACCCGGTTCTGGCGTGATGAGCCCCGACACGTGGACCATGTCCTGTTTTTCGCTCGGGCCTCGGTAGAGATGTTGTGAGGAAGGACCAAGCGGAGCCCCGGCATGCTCTCTCACGTGTTCCCCGCCCTCGAAGCAACCTTTTGGGTTCTCTTTAGTGTGTTTGCTCCTGCTCTTCGAGGTGAGAATCCCAACCTTATTCCAACTAGAGTCCCTTTATACTGAGAGTCAAGACAACACCCCGCATGCAGTCACAAACGGGAATAAAGATTACAGAAATTGAACGTTTTTCGTAATCTTTGATCGGCCCATTCTCGAATTCCTTTCTTCGTTCCTTCCCTCATTCCGTTTGTTCCTTGCCGAACCCGTGATTCCCCGGTCCATTCCAGATTATAATCTTTGCAATCGGTGAAACTGTAATCTTTATTCCCGTTTGTGACACTGTGAAGGCCTAAAATACGGGAACCAATCAGAAATGGATTCACATTGTCTTGACTCTCAGTGTAATGGGACTCTAATTCCAACTCAACCTTTCATTTTGAAAAGTTGTTCAGCCGCATGTTGCATCCGATAAAATCATGTAATGAAATGCATGCTGCAAGTGATAAGAACGTGAGCCAAAGATGCAATCATTTTTTACAATTTTATTTTTCAGGTGCTTAAAGAAGAAGAAGTAAAAAAATTGTAAAAAAATCATACATCTTTAGCTCACGTGTTTATCACTCATTAACCTTTAGTTCTGCAGTGATAAGGAAACATTACGTATGAATATTCGGATACTGCCGAATTTCCTTTGATGAAACNGTCACAAACGGGAATAAAGATTACAGAAATTGAACGTTTTTCGTAATCTTTGATCGGCCCATTCTCGAATTCCTTTCTTCGTTCCTTCCCTCATTCCGTTTGTTCCTTGCCGAACCCGTAATTCCCCGGTCCATTCCAGATTATAATCTTTGCAATCGGTGAAACTGTAATCTTTATTCCCGTTTGTGACACTGTGAAGGCCCAAAATACGGGAACCAATTAGAAATGGATTCACATTGTCCTGACTCTCAGTATAAAGGGACTCTAATTCCAACTCAACCTTTCATTTTGAAAAGTTGTTCAGCCGCATGTTGCATCCGATAAAAGCATGTAATAAAATGCATGCTGCAAGTGATAAGAACGTGAGCCAAAGATGCAATCATTTTTTACAATTTTATTTTTCAGGTGCTTAAAGAAGAAGAAGTAAAAAAATTGTAAAAAAATTATGCATCTTTAGCTCACGTGTTTATCACTCATTAACCTTTAGTTCTGCAGTGATAAGGAAAAATTACGTATGAATATTCGGATACTGCCGAATTTCCTTTGATGAAACGCACATTTTTTCAGGAGGAAGGGTGTACTGCAGGTATACTTCAGGCCTTGCTAAATTTCCTCTGATAAATCACGAATTTTCCATGAAATTTGTAAATGATTAACTTCACATTTTTCAGGAAATTTTATTTATACATTGATCTTTTTCTGAAAATTTCAAGGGAAAACATTCATAGCATTCCTAAAAAAATGAATATTTTCTTAAAGAAAATTTGGCAACACTTGAGTGCTCATACAGCGTTTTTCCTAAGGCAGGCGGTATCGATAAGGACCGTTTTTGGGCGCATCTTGAAATTTCCCAATTCTATACAATTTTTTGCTCATTGAAGGTCTACATTGTATAGATAGCATCATGATTTGGTTATTTTTTGTCACTTTTTGGTTCTGATACTGGCCTAAAAATGGGTCTGTAGGCCGATTTTGGCGAATAATGGGAGTTTAACGGGTTTGCGATCTGGATAAAAATTCAACCGAAGGATTTTAAGAAATCGATATTCATATCTGAAACTTTGGAGACTCATACAGTTTTTCTCAAGAAAACCTTGGGGAAGCGGGAAAAAACTTCGGTTTCCAATTAAAAAATCAGCTCCCGAAAATCAGAGAAAAATCATGGTTAAGAATATTCTAGACACTATGAATTAAAGAAACTTCTATAACTCTCTGAAATACGATGTACGGTATACTCGAACATCACTGGCGAGGCGTGAATGATCGATCATCCATATTTTGCTGTTTGAAGCTATGGTGAAAAATCGATCATTGAGGTGTTAGTTGCGAAAACCCTGTTTATCGATCCTTTTCCACAGGTTTAAATGGGAGATCAATTGATGTATCGCTGAGCACGCCACGGGCCACGCCACTGTCGTACTTCTGTAATGAAAAATTCAGCACTCGGAGGGAACCAAACGACTCGTGAGATAAATGCGTGCATTTTGGACCTCAAGTCGTTTAGTTAAGTCTTTAAGTTTCCTTTCTGCAAATATGCGTATTTCAAACGGAATACTTTGAGTTGCGCGCTGAATGAATGCACTCAGCAAGATAAAACGTGGCAATTTCTCCTCCTCCATCATTCATAAAAACTGCAAGTCTCCTTCGCGGTAGCTCCGGCGGTATAATGATCGGAGGAAACAGGGAAATTCGCCGTTTTCCGGACGGACGAACGTAACTCCATTCCAAGGTTGCCAAATCTGCTCAAACAATTCAATTTTTTTTGTGAGTGCACCTATGCAATTTTTGTTAAAAATTTGTTTGACATATGTATGAGATTAGAGAAAAAATCAGTGAAACTTTCAGTTGGAAATTCCCGAAATTTTTCTGGTTAAAGTGCAATTTTCGCGAGGGAATCTGGCAACACTGAAATGGAGTTGCGCTCTTTCACGCGGGTAAAGACGAATCGTGAGCTCTCGGAGCGGAGCACAAGTGGCAGACAGAGTTTAAGGAATTATCTTAACTCGACAAAGGCGAGCGACTCGGGAAATAAGTCAGTATTTATCTCGAATGATGCAATTAAAATGAAAATAAGAAAAACGACGCGGCGGCGGGGGGAGGGGGAAGGGAGAAATAAAACACACTCTCCACTTTTGAGAGCTCTCCCTTCGCCCTCTCTCGGAGCCTCTCCGCTTGGCTTCATAATTCCATTTACGGACCACGTCAAATAAATATAATTCAAAGGGAAAGGAAGAGCCGGTTTCGGCGCGAATCGGAGGGTGCGGAGAGGGGCGGGGGAGGGGCGATGGGGAGGGAGGGGGAAGAGCTACGGCGGGTCTTGGAGAATTTGACAAAAATGACCCCAGAATTGACTCCTCGTCGTTTCCCACGACTTCTGCACCCGCGGCTGCCAGTTTTGGCACATAAATAGACTAATAAGATACTTGAGGCTAGTTGCTTACCCCGGGTTGTGATGGTTACTGCCGTGCTGAGGAAGAACACTTTATGGACTTTCGTGCGTTGCCAAATGTCTTTTGTTAAGATATGGATTTTCAGAAACACTTGTTTTTTTATTATCATTCAGAGTTTCTTTATTGAAAATATTTAAAAATTGAAATCAATATTTACATGAGATAATTTCCTACTAACTAGACGACGTATTTGTTATGGGGCAACAAGATAAAAGGAATGAGTTTTAAGGAAGAAGAGACACCGGAATCGCAAATGTATATCATCAGTGCCTCTCTTCAGAAAAACTTGTGTACATTTTTCGTCTCATTTTTCCAAGGATTTTCGTCGGAATGTGATCTAAATTATCTGAAAATGTCAAGGAAAAATATGTCCATAATTCTCTCAGAATTAATTTGTTGATTGGAAAGCTTGGCAATGTGCAAATTTTCACAGGACGTTTTTACTCAGCAATGCAGTTTCGGTTTCAGCATTAGTTCCCTTTTTAATTGGAATTACGATTTAAAAACCCAACATCCCAAAAATTGATGGAACAGGAGCCTAGAGAGCATTTTACGCCACGTCCGCTACCTTGGACTTTAAAATCTTGTAAATTTGAGTAATCATTCAAATTAACCGTAAAATATACTCCCAATACGTAACACTGTAACACGCACGCTCAAAAACTGTATACAAGTTTCAAGAATAGTTTTATCTTCAGGTGAGCCTCTTTCTTTGACCACATTAAAAATGATAATCCTTTCTTTTTAAATCAATAATTGAGGCTTTACTTTTTGTCACGGACAAAGCTAGGCATAAAACGTTCGAGTTAACTGGGAATACTGTAGGTAGCAGGTTGAAATATCTTATTCGGTAGAGAAATTCACTCGAGTTAGGTTTCAACTTAAGAATACAAATATTTCAACTTTGATGTGTTGCACAGTATCACGCGCAATTGAAGGCGTTTTATATTGGTCCGGCCGTGACCTAACTACATAGGCTGTCCAAAAAGTACCGAAACTGGTTCTATAACTCAAAAACCAAGATAGCTAGAGGCTTGATCTTGGTCTCATTTGAAAGATCAACTCAATATCTATCGATTGAAAACAATTTCAAAACTTTTGGTCTCAACCGATAGATATTGAGTTGATCTTTCAAATGAGACCAAGATCAAGCCTCTAGCTATCTTGGTTTTTGAGCTTAAGAACCAGTCTCGGTACTTTTTTGACAGCTTATGTAAGATCAGCGATATTTGGGGAGCTCTTTTTACACTTCAAAAATTCGTTAGTTACACATTTTTATGACATCAAAAGAATTAAAAATTAATTAAATATGCTCAAAAGACGTACGTGTATTAAGTTGTAACTCATCAATATGGAGTTCTGTGAAGCTTCGAGGGTGTATTCATAGTCGTTCCTTAGACGTTTTGCCCTCCTTAACCGATGTAAATTTTACGGCACAAGAAGTCCTTAATGTTACAACAATTATGAATACGATTCTTGGTGTCTGACTTGTGCATCGTAAGAAGCACGCCAACAAGTGGTCGTCATCGCTTAATTCCGATGAAGCAAAAATTGACGAAGCTCTAAAAGCATGAAGAGCTTTCGGTTTTCGGCACAAGCCTTGCAGAGAGCGCGATATAGTGTGAAAAGTGCATCAGTCGAGATGCTAACTGAATTTTTAACGGAGTTGCTTGTCTCCTGCGCAGCGTGGTAAGTTCTGTCTAAATCTGCTGTGTTATGGAAGAGAGTCAAACTTCATCCTTGAATGACCCTCGAAGCGCTTAAAAGTATGCTTCATCTGTGGCTAATGTTCAAATAGTTCGCGTTTTGCAAAAAATAACTACTATTTCTTGCTCATTCATAAAAGCGCATAACTGCATATGATTATCAAGGATAATATGGTAACGCCTGAAGACTCATACGGTGTTTTGCCTTTGCACAAGAGTAT